CCAGCCTGTGTTCCACCCTGGTCCCGCGGCCCATCGGGGACATCAATTGGCAGCTCCTTCACGGAGCCATGGGCTCTTGGCATGGTTCACCCCCTGTCTCAGACACCTGGCCCTTCTGCAGCATGAGGGACAACCTGGAGCACGCCTATCTGGAATGTGCCACCACCCTGATCCCACGGCCCATCGGGGACATCAATTGGCGGCTCCTTCACGGAGCCATGGGCTCTTGGCATGGTTCACCCCCTGTCTCAGACACCTGGCCCTTCTGCAGCATGAGGGACAACCTAGAGCACGCCTATCTGGAATGTGCCACGTTGCAGCCCCTATTCCAGCTCCTCCAGAACCTGTTATTGACGTGCTGGCTGCACTTTTCCCCACACCTTTTTATTTCTGCACACCCCGTTCGTGGCCCCACAAAGTTGCTTAACCTCTTCATCAACCTCCTGGTCCTGGCGAAAGCTACTATATATAATACCAGGAGGAGGATGCTAGGTGAGGTGCTCTGCAACTGTGGGATCTACTTCTGTTCCTCCCTTATATCATGTATCTGGGCAGAGTTCCTCTGGGTGGCATCCACCGGCTCCATCCACAGCTTTGAGAAGCAGTGGGCGCGGTCCAGAGTTCTCCGCTCAGTGTCCCTGTCCAGTTCCCTTGTTCTAAACCTTTGACCTGCACTCCTTGACCCTGTTTTTTATTAGTTGCCCCAAGTAATCAGTTGAGTCCCAGGTCCATGACCTGCACTCCTTGACCCTGTTTTTTTTTTAGAAGTGGGCAGGCATGGATTTGGCTTTCGGGCCCAGTGGCAGCTGCTGGTCCTGCCCCTGACTTCTGCTCTGCCCCGCTGCTGCTGTGGCTGTGGCTGTGGAGCCAGGCTCAGGTCCAGGGAAACCTTGTTTGTGGGGTGGCAGCTGCTGGGTGCGTGGCTATGCCTGGCTCGTGGCAGGAAGGTGGTTTTGAGGGGCAGAGGACTGGGGGGGTGTTGGGTTTTGAGGGGCGGCAGCAGTAACTGCAGCAGTGCAGCATCCGTTTACCTGCCCTTGCCTTGCTTACTTGGCACTTGCAGGGAATTCGTGTGGCGGGGGCGGAGTCTGTCAGTGGAGCACACGCAGGCTGTGGGGGAGGGAACGGGGGGGCTGCAGCTTGGCTTGTGGGAGTTGGGGGGGAATTGGCACAGCTGGGCTGGGGGAGGGGACAGGAGGCAACAAAGCTGGGGAGGCTGCAACCCCGCGGGGGGGAGG